ATATATATATGAGACACACACAGAAAGACACCATCTCTGATAGTATATGTCCTAAATATTACAAAATTTTGCTCAAACTTTTGTAAGACAAATTATAATTAGGTTTCATTGAGGCAATGTGGTCACCTCTCAAAATAATTTGGATTTCTTGTTGTCATCTTGTTTGAGGAAGTCTGTCTGTTTTCTGTCTGTCTCTGTCAGTGGGGGTGGTCTGTGCTGCTCCGGTAACAGGAAGTGGCTGGCAGAGAGCCCAGGTCATCCAGTATTACAGAGAGTCTGGAATGGCTCATATCAGATATGTAGATAATGGAGGTTATGACACTGTGAACAGCGCCACCCTCAGGCAGATCAGGTCAGGTGGCTTAAGTTTGGTTTGATTATTTATCTGTAATTGTTTTGGAATGAGTTCAATCTGACATTTGAAGATTGTTTTCACAGGTCAGACTTTGTAACGTTGCCATTCCAGGCAGCAGAGGTTCTGTTGGACAATATCACTCCTTTGCCAGGTAAAACATTGGCCTGTTTATGATTAAAAATGCTTTATGTGCTGTTTTTTAATGCATACATACAGTGTTATTATTCTTTGTACATTTTGTAAAAAATCACACAAATAAATCATAGCTACTGAATTATGCTAAAAAACAAAACAAAAAGCCATTTGTTTGCTTTGATAGGAGAGGAGGAGTTTTCCCTGGAGGCCAAAGCAGCGCTGAAGGAATTAACTGCAAATATGGCCCTAATCATCAAGGTTATAACAAACAAACACATTTGTCTTTCCAGTTTTTCCGGTACATTGATTATTTACACCGTATTGAATGATTCTTGAGATTTGAGGTTCTCAAACTTTGTCAGCCCTTTGACCTAAAATATTTACTTGAAATCCTCCCTGAGATTTCAAATTAATACAGTAATTTCACAATACCTTTGACAGTCAATTTATGGTCACATGACATACAGGTAAACAAAATATTTTATCTTACAATTTATGATTTAATAATTATTAGCTTTTTTCATCAGCTCGCAAATGTTTCATCAGCTCTTCACTGGGAGATCAAAAACAGCTCTGAGGAATATTTTCATTAGTTTTTCTATAAGAATTCTGAACCTGATAGATGTTTGTTTATGGTCAGGTGACAGGCAGTCATGATGGCCTTCCTCTGGTGCACATGTGGAAACAGACAGGAGACGAGGTGTGTATGTCTGATTTTTATTTACTAGACCCTTACATTTCAGCTATAACTGTTACTTATGTGCTTTGTGGGTCTGCAGGTGGTTCTGGTGAACAGATTACTGGCTGAACGGGGGTTTTGCACCTGGTTTGAGATGCAGTGATGTCACAGCTTTTTGCTTATCCTTTCTTGATTGCCCTTTTGCACAATAAATCGTGTATTCCACTTTGTATATTTGTTTGTTGTATGAAGATTATGTTGGAAACCAAATTTTTGAAGAATTCTCTTCAAATGGTTAATATTATGCTATTTGATGTTATTTAAATGATAATTGAATTAAGTTATTGCCCCAGAATGCATTGCAGAGTAAACCAAAGCTGCTTATGTGAACACCTGCTAATACTGTACAAGTCTTTAAGATTTTCTCTTGAATGCTGATGGTTTGATAGGTTGTTATGCTCAGGTATTTTGATATTGAAGTATATAGTTTTTTTGTAGTATCTTTTTTTTGTTTTGTTCTCTGTTTAGAAATATTTGTTCTTCTCTTGGTCTTTGTATTTTGTTTCTTTTCTGTAAGATAAGGGTGGGGACAGTGTTATGCTCTCTGAATGTAAAGCCTTAAAGAACTCCAGCAGTGAAGAGCATTATGATCCCCTGCTGAACGGTTCAGTGCTCTGTACTCTCATGCTGACGCTGCCAAACATCTCACTGCTGTTGAAGTAAAAGATCTGTGGATATCGCAAACATGGTGTGCTTTTCTGTCTCATGTGCTTATGCTGACGTTGCCTTAAATTACAATCAATACACTGCTTAAAACTTTATAAACTGCTTATAGGCTTTCAAAAAAGTTTAGCATTTCTGAAAAAAAACGAGCAAAAAAAATTTTTTTTTTTTTCTTTTTTTTTGGGATGCTGCCCTGAAAAACCTGGATCACAGATACTGAAGTATATTCAACAAGACAAAATCTCAGAGCTGATTTTAAACGAGTACCAACCTCCATAGCAATAATGTCTGTTGATTTAGCCCATGTCTGATTTATTTAGTATGTCAGAGTATCTTCCTAATAGGTAAAAAGTACATACTCTCTGGCTGCCTTGAAAAAAAATCACATGCACCTGCTACTTCTGGCCAACAGATGTCACTCAGAGTAAATCTTTGAATGGCTTGTTACAAGTAGGTCTTAAAGAGTGTTCATTTTTAAAGGTGCAGATGTTAATTGGGCATTTTTCAAATAATACTGTGTGTGTATATTTTTTATTTCAGTATGTTTATTTATTTCTTGATGGTAATTGCTCTAATATGTGCAATCGATCCAAAAAAGAAGAAAATGCCCTAGAAAACCTTAGTCTAGAGTTAGTGGCATACACTCTTAAAAATAAAGGTGCTTCACGATGCCATAGAAGAACCTTTTTGTCTAAATGGTTCCATAAAGAACCTTTAACATCTGAAGAACCTTTCTGTTTCACAAAAGGTTCTTTGTGGCGAAAGAAGGTTCTTCAGATTATAAAAAGGTAAGAAAGAGATGGTTCTTTAAAGAACTTTTGACTGAATGGTTCTTTGTGGAACCAAAAATGGTTCTTCTATGGCATCATTTGAAGAACCATTTGAAGCACCTTTATTTTTAAGAGTGTATGCGTGAAATATCGTGGAAAAGTGTGCTGAAATGGCCTGAATGATTTAAAGTGACTGCTGACATTCTTCAATAAACATGCAGAAATCCCTGTATTTGGCCCTGCTCTTATATCTGCCTGCCGCAGGGGGTCTGATTGGTTTGCTCTGAGGAAGCTGAATGTCACGGCTGATTCTGTTGCATGTGTGCTCTCATATTCTCCAGTCTTAACTTTGAGATTTCTATTTCGCTAAGCAGAATTTCCTCTCGTTTCCAGAGTAGCCTGATGAATGTGTATTATCCTAAAGAGTCACATTGATCTGTTAGGCAGCTAACAGATGCACAGCATTAAAAAACGAGACTTTCAGTAAGCAAAAGATCCACTCATTAATCAAACACAGATGCCGCTGTGACTGTGGGGCTCCCTCACAGATTGGGCTCATATAACATGATGCAGCTTAATTTTCTTGATACGGGAAACACTCTTACTACTTTTCCAAATATCTCAAACTCTCCACAATGTACCCTTTACCAGGAGATGTCATTTTAATACCACATATCAGAGTTGGAACATAAATTTAAGACTGTGTTTCTGGACTGCTATGGGTTTAAGAAAGTTTATTAGAACATTAGCAGCATGATCTATGTGTTTACGAAGTAAGGCAAGATATTATTGGCTGGTTAAAGAGTTCTAATTTGGCAGTGGGAAGCAGTGCTCTTGTTTTCCACAGTGATCTGATTCTGTGAAACTAGAGCTACAGTCATTTGATAAACTTTCTATTTGAGCATTTCCATATCAATTACGTCAGCAGATGTCACACTAACACTGATCTAGCCATTCTGCATGCTCACTCAGCAAAGCAGTAAAAGGCTCTGAAATACATTGCCTGGTGTGTGGGGGTGTCAGCAAGTTTTTCAGCACCCTCCAGGACAATTAACATACATATCAAAAGATGCCTTAGTGTTATGTTTATGGATAAACAATATTATTAAGTAAAAAAACAATAGAAATCACTGGAAAGTCCATATCATAGAAGGAAAACAAGCATTCCAAGTGTTTCATACAATAAACTCCAGTGATCTTTTAGTATCATTGGTATACTATTATATATTTTTGTTAATACCTTGAATTATATTTTATTCTATTTTCATTTTAGTTAAAGTTTTAGCCATTTTGCTGTTTGTTTTTCTTATTTTTTCACATATGGTTATATAGTTTTTTTTTTTTTTTAGCTTTTAGTTATTTGAGTTAAGTTAGTTTGAGTTATTTTGGTACAGTTATTCTGTCAACTGAATTAAAATAAGTTTAAGTTATGTTAATTTTATTTCAAGTAATGAAAGTTTTTTTGGTTTGGTTTTAGTTTTCGTTAATGATAATATTGTCTACTGAAAGGTGCCAAAAGAATGCAAGTACTTTCCAACTTTTAAGACAATTGAAATCCAAATAAACCTGATAATTTATAATATATCTTACTAAGTAATCTATCTTCTTATATCTTACTTTCACTAATTACTGATTTTGTGGGGATTTATGACATTGCCACTAATAATAAGTCAAACTACAATGACACAAGATAGAATATGCTTGTGCCACAAAGAAAAACTAGATTTTATTTCAGTGTTTTGAATTACAGCGCTTAATTTGAGTTTTAAACATGCATTTCCTATTTCAAAAGGCCTTTTGGTTGTATTTATTCAGAAGGTGGCGCGAATGTAAACTTAATAGGGTTTAAAGAGCTTACTGAAGAACTGAATATACTCTCATGGTTCCTGTCAAACACTGCCAACCAACAGAAGGCGTTGCTTCCTTTGATAGGTAGGCGCATATCTCCGCCGGATTGGTTGGCTGACGATTTCAGCCACGCCCTCTCCTGAGAGGGGCGGGAGCTGCGCGCAGATCACACGTGTGACGCTGGCGCTCCCGCTTCGGTAACATTCCTTGAGCTGGGGCTGCAGTGCCTGTGTGTGTGTGTGTGTGTGTATGCGTGTGTTTGGAGTTGGTTGGGCTTTGAGCTATGGAAGCGGACGCGAGTCAACTCACCTCTGGAAGCCCGAATGATTCGCAACACGACCCGGGGTAAGAAGACAGGATGAGTGCGCGCGCGCGCCCGCCCGTCTGTGTGTTTCGAGTTTGATTCTGTTTTCTGCGCGAGCGAGCGCGTGTCCTTTCTCCCTCAGTTCTGCTAATGTTTTGAATGACAGGTCATTTCTAACGGCTCATTTCAGCCGGTTCACAGCTCAAGCTCTTTATCGCTCTTTATGAGGCATTTACACGGAAAATGGCCGTTTTGACATCCGGAGTCACTTATAACATGTTTTCTCCTTACAGTAAAATGTTTATCGGTGGCCTCAGCTGGCAAACCTCACCAGGTAAGGCGAATTTCTTCTTCTTTTTTTTGAGTTTTGTTTTATATTTATCCATGGCTGAGAGCTGTGTGGTGTTTGTATGTGTGTCTCTGCGCACAAGGTTATTGTGATTTCCAGTCATCTGACACTAAAAACGAGCGACGAGACAACTTTAACGCTCTCATTATAATCAACGAAGTGTGAAGCGCGCGCGACCTTCGTTGATTATAACGGCAGCGTGCAGGTTTAATCGCGTCGCTCTCTTGCACTGGAGACACGGCGTAACCCTCTTGTGTCCTTGTGTTTGTGTTCAGACAGCCTTAGAGACTATTTCAGTAAATTCGGGGAGATCAGAGAATGTATGGTGATGCGTGACCCCACAACCAAACGCTCCAGGTAAACACACGTGCTTTCTCTATGTCCCGCTGTCTTTATTCTGCTGTATTACATTGCAGATCAAGAAGAACAGGATAGAAAGCTGATTCATTGACATTGAGTTAGGAGGACTGTACTGTATTAGAAAGCGATTCCCTTTGTAATATAATTTAGTGATTTCTAAATTATATTACAAAGGACAAAATGTTTTAGCTCATATATATTGAAGGGGCTATCTATCTATCTATCTATCTATCTATCTATCTACACACACACACACACACACATTATATTATAGCCATATGTCTCAGTCTTTTGTCTTTTTTACATAATTGACAGTTATATAGGTGAGGTGACCCTAATAAGACCACAAACCATATAAGCCCTCTGGTTATATTTTGAAACATGTAAAGACAAAGCATGAGGGTAATTATATTTCATAGCAAATGCAGATATTTCTTACTGTCACTTTCATTTTATTTGGATATATTGCTAATATCTGACTATAGAAGTCGCATCAAAACTTTGCTTTTATATATATATATATATATATATATATATATATATATATAT